TGGCGGCAATCATCCCCCACACAGTGTTATGCCCCGCACTTCTGCTCCCTTTTCGCCAACTTCAGCTTGTTCTTCGTTACCGAGCGCCTTCGTGATATATATCCTCTCCCGCTTGCGCCGTCACTCCGGTGCTCGTACGCGTACCTGCTACGCTTCGCAACGCAACGTCTTCACCAGGCGAAATCGTTATTACGTAACACCCATTCCTCACGATTTATCCTAATGTCACGGAACAAGCACATGAACTCCATTTCTTCAACCTCGAAACATAGTGCGGAAGGCCTCAATGTGCAATCACGATGTATGTCGAGATATGCTACAAGACCCCTACTTTCAATGCTCACGATGACATCGACGGAGGCTCTCCTCCTGACCTCCGGAGTTCAACCGGGTTTCATCAATATCTTGCGCTTTCTGGCCTTCCTCGAAATGTCACCAATTGGATATACTAGTGCTTCCCTTTCCCAGAGGTCCGCCGCAAATAACTCAAAACGCAATCCACTCGCATGTCTAGACAGTCTCTTGAGACTGCGCAGGCGGTCAAGCTTCCGAGACTCAGAATGGCTTGCGCGTCGGCTGGAAGCGCCCGGTGAAATCAAGTAAGCTCGTCGAGTCGTAATCTGAATGCAAGAGCTCATCATACCGTCTTCTTACCAGGCCTGCGACGTAAGAACATATCTGGTATTGTTCCGGCACCGAGCCGCAGTCAAGTCAAGCCCTCAAAGTTTTGCCTCAGTCGCCCGGCCAGCGCCTTTTCATGCTTGTCATATCCTCGAGTCTTGCTTACCCTTCGAACGAGGTTCTTCTTCTGGTGCTCTGCTCAAACGCAAACTATGATACATGCCTATCGACAGTGCCTAGTCTTCCTCAGTCCACCTTGTTCTCCCGCAGTCTCGTCACACCCTCCGTTGACCGGCAGAACTTGGCGCGATATATTCATGAAGCTTGAAGCTTGAAGACCAGTCAGGAACTTGCGCAGGCTTGCATCAACTTCTTATGCTGCGGCTTCGTTGATGCAAAACGCCCTTTGCGCTCCTGCTCCTCCGGCACGCACTTCAACTGCTGCGCAGCCCTCATTGCGACTCGCCCGAACGTCGGCATCTCTGAGAAATCGGTCGCACCAGCTGACGGTTGACGGTTGACGCTGACGGACATGTCGTAGTCCATGCTGTGCCCGCTACTTCACGTTGCTTTGGAGACAATTATAAGGAATGGCTTCGTTCGCTTGGGTCTTCACCTTTCGCTTCCCAGATTTACGTCTCGGTCATGTCTCTTCACCGCACACTCGCTTCTCTTGCGCTGTTCGGCGGTCCGGCCCTTGCTGCGTCGACCGTTAAGCAGCTCTTCAACTTCACCACCTATGTCGATATCGAGAACAGCCATCTGCGCCCCAATGGCAATCTACTCCTGAGCACCTTTGCCAACGGCAGTCTCTATCAACTTGATACGGCCGTCTCGAGCCCGGAAGCCCAACTCGTCGCGGAGCTGCCTGGTGCCACCGCTCTTACCGGCATTGCTACCATCGGGACGGACAAGTTCGCGGTTATCGGCGGCGTGCGCGGTACCTACGAGTATTCCAACGAGACCGTCTACACGGTCGAGTTCTCCAAGACCGCGAACGTGACCGTCAGCGTCGCCGCCACACTTCCCGACGCCGTCATGCTCAACGGCATCGACTCGCTTCCCGCGTACCCGAATGTCATTCTGGCGGCCGATTCGCGCGTCGCTGCCATCTGGCGCATTGACACGGACACCGGCGCCGTCGAGAGCATCCTCGAGGACGACGCGTTCAACGCTACGGAGACCGCGACGGTCCCCATCGGCATCAATGGGTTGAAGGTCTTCAACGGATCCGTTTACTTCACCAACACTGCGCGTGCGACGTTCGGCCGCGTGGCGATCACCGACGACGGCTACCCCGATGGCGATATTGAGATCATCGCTACCCTCAACGACACGGCATACGACTGGGACGACTTTGTCATCAACCCCGTCACCGGTATCGCGTACGTTGCTCAGGCGAACTCTGCTGTTGCCAGCATCGCGCCGGACGGCACGCAGTCCATCATCCTCGGTGGCGAGAACTCGACCGTGATCGTCGGCCCGACATCCATCACGCTCGCCTTAGACAACACGACTGCCTACGTGACATCGCGCGGGGGTACGGTTGGGGATTCGACATTCCAGTACAGCGGTCAGGTCGTCGAGTTTACTGTGTAACGATGAGCGCTATGAATACGAGTCTCGCTGGGTCTGGACGGTTGGATTGTTTTTCTTTTCTTTTCTCATCTCATAGGACTTTCAGTTTGGAAGGTTGGGCGTAGTATTTTGTCGGGTGTTCGGAGTGATGAGAGGGGTGGTGCTGTTGAACATACAATTTGATACTATTGTGCACTGAGCCGAGTATTGATGCATCTCAATGTTTTATGAGTACCAAGCATTGTTCGGGCCGTCCTATGGCTATGAGTGAGGATACCAAGTATGAGCCATTATGATTACAGCATGATACAATAATGCATTCTTCAATCCGTATGGAGCCTTGGCTCAGCGGTAGAGCATCTGATTCCAGCTTTACGTGGTTCCAGAAGGTCGTCCGTTCGATCCGGGCAGGCTTCACATGTTTTGTTTAGCACTTGTGAATGAATTGAGATCATTTATGAAGGTCATTTTTCGTACACATACACATGAGAAGTGCACTGATATTCTTGTAGATGGAATCATTACATAAGGTAAGCAACCTCGCATAAATCAGGCCCCGTTGGCCGTCGGGGTCGACGACCACCGTGAGGCCGGATCAGCCGTGCATTAGACCCACCCACGCTCCGCGGTCGCAGGCGCATCACATCCAGCTACCACATGTAGCCGTCGCCGTGAAGGCAGACATGGCGGCAACGAGTGGATACCCAACGGCGACAGCCATCCAGTCCGCGCTGAGCATAGAGTGGGGCGGGCGAGCATGCAGCGTGTTGAACGATCGACCCTTCGGCCCGTGTCCACTTACATCTACGAATCCACACGCAAGCAATCGATACTGCGGTCCTAGAATAGTGTCTATGGGTGTGCTTTCATGCGCGGTGAATGCATAGGACCGGCGTCCTATAAAGCTTGAGGAGCTTGAGGGACAGTCGATATCTCAGCGACAGCAGAGACTGAATCTGTCGATCATCTCTTCCAATCGCACCTCCATGTCATTTTGCAAGAACTGTGTTGAAGGTAAGTACCTGCTCATCTCCGGCAGAGTGTTGCTTACTATACCTCGAACTGTCTTAGGCGTCCGCCACGAGGGGACACTGGAAGGTGAGCCTGTTTGCACTACCCTTACAGTGATTGCGATTATCGGATACTGACCGTAGCCGTCCATGATGTAGGCAGCATCGAAGAGCTCGGCGGCATCAAGACCTACGTCGCAAAGCCTCAGAAAGGATACGCAAAAGAAAAGGCCGTCATCTATCTTGGCGACATCTTTGGCATTGAACTGCCGAATAACTGCGTGAGCTCTTCGCTTCAGCGTGGCATACATGTTGATTGATCTCACATGTCTCTCGGCGTAGCTCCTCGCTGATTCCTATGCCCGCAACGGTTTCCAAACATACGCTCCCGATCTCTTCGCAGACGATGCCGCGCCGCTGGGCAGGGTATACCCCGACGTGAGTGCATGATTGAAGTACCGACTCAACCATCCGCCGCAACACTGAGCGTGACCGTAGGGTACCGCTTGGGATTTGAAGACTTGGTTCCCGAAGCACACACCGGCGAGCGCATTGGAACGGGTCCGAGCGGTCATGACAGCGCTGCGGGCACAAGGTGTCACCAAGTTCGCCGCCGCCGGTTACTGCTATGGCGGGCGTCTGACGTTTGACCTCGCTTTCGCCGATGAGATCGACGTCTCGGTGGTCTCTCATCCCGCCTTACTTACCCCACCGGACCTCAAGAAGTACGCTGAAGCAAAAGCGCCTCTGCTGCTGAATACATGCGAGCATGACGAGATGTTCGGCGCAGAGATGCAGGCGGGCGCTGATGAAGCACTCAGTAGCTTTGAGCCTGGGTATAAGCGCGCGTACTTCGCGGGTGCCACCCACGGGTTCGCGAGTCGCGGTGATCTTTCAGACCCTGTAGTGAAGAAGGCCAAAGAAGATGCGTTCGAGAATGCTGTTGAATGGCTTGTGAAGTACCTGTAACATCCGATTCATGAGGGACAACGTATAGCAGATATCTTGCCTCTCGGCTCGAATATATTTGCACTATGTCCGATATTGTGCATCCGCTAGAAGCAAGCAAGTGAACAACGCTATCGTATGCGATTGAGTGATGGCCGCAGGAAACAAGAGGCCAACCGCGTCTGTGGCTTTCGTTCCGAAAATGCCGACACAGCGGTCACTGTGTGACGTGACGGGCACAAATTTGTGAGTGCTGACTGATTTCAAGGTCATCTTCGCCCCCGATGTCCTCCTTCTCCGGTCTCGAGAGGTCTCTACTGACAGGAGAGTGGAGATCTGAATATGCTAGTGGTGTACCCGACGAACTGGCATCCGCGACGCAACGCGTCGTGAAGGGAAACTTTCGCGATCATCTGACTTCAGAACGCGTTCGCGCTTTACTCATCCTGTCCCCTAATCTTGACGCGAAGAAGCCGTTGAAAACATGGTTCAACTTCTATACCTCAAACACTGCGTCTTCGGATGACGAATACGTACTTTTGTCGGCCGCTGTGGCCCTTTTGCACGCATTCATCCAGGCTAATTGGACTGGACCTGACCTGGACTTTAAACCTTTGGACATCTTGACAATCCCGTCCTCTCAATCCGAAGATATCACTGAGTCTCTCCTTCAATCCCGAGCTGTGGCGGAACTTGCACTTGGAGGAGAACCCGCCTATCACCTGGCTGACTCTGCCTTCCTCCTTCGTCTCGCTCAGCTTATTCTCGAGTACCCTTTCCAACATGTACCTTCCGTGACCTGGTGGAAAGTACGTGCGTGGAACGTTCACGAGCAGGTATTGGACGAGCCCGCTGCAGTCCCTCACGGCGCGATCGCCCCTCTTGAGCCGCTTGCTGAGACCTACGCATCAGACGCCGATCTCGTCGGACGACTCTGGCTCGAGCGAGGTCTTTTGGAACACTATCAGGGAAACGACCGTGCTGCGCTGGATTACTTCGTCCGTGCTGCAAGAGCGACAGAACTTCAGTACGAGCTAACGGGGGCACTCGGCAAGCGAACGAAGTTCCAGCAGACGGAGCTGAGCCAGTTGGTACTTTTGGCTGAGAGTCGCGCTCGAGAAGCACATTCGGATAAGGCGAAGGATACCGCGCAGATGCCCGAAACGTTCGCTCTGAACGACGACACGCTACTCGAGCAAACCGAGTACACGTCCTCGCATCCCGCTGCTGCAGGTTCGCGTCTGTCGCACCTGGATCCATCCGATCAACCCGCATTACATCCGCTGGACCAGTGCATCCTGCTCTCCCTTTGCCTCAACGTTCGCAATACGTCCCCCGCACATGGTCTCACACACGAGCAGATGTCGCCATACGTCTCCCGCGTCATCACTCATCCTCGCAACTGGTCCGTTCACACGATGGCACTACTCCTGCGTTCGCGACTGGAGTCCGGGCGCACGCGCACAGTCGAGCGCTCTGTACTACAGCTTCAGGCGCTTCTCGACCAGATGCCCACCGCCGACTCAAGTATACAAGAGCGCCTCGCCTACGTGCACTCCATTCCGCTCCCAAGCAAATGGGAGATGCAACGCGAGCTCGCAACGCGCATGCTCAGCATCGGTGTAGTGAAGAGCGCTCTTGAGATCTTTGAGCGCTTGGAGATGTGGGAAGATGCCGTCAAGTGCTATCAGTCCATCGAACAGAAGGATACGGCGCGCGCTCTCGTGCGTGATCTGCTGGAAGGGAAGAAGGCCGCCGCAGACGCCGTGCTCGAGCGTAGCAAAAGCGCCTCGGAAAGCCGACGCGCGGTGCTTGATGCGTCGCGAGAGGCCAAGCTCTGGTGCTTGCTGGGCGAAATCGAGCCTGAACATGCTGTGGCCCACTTCGAAAAGGCTTGGACAGTTAGTCGTGGTACATCGGGGCGCGCGATGCGCTCTTTGGGAGGATACTACTTCGCCCGCGAGAACTACGAGGACGCTGTTCGTTGTCTACGGAAAGCCGTTGCGATCAGCCCTCTCCTCTCTCGGTCTTGGTTCGTCCTCGGCTGCGCCTGTACGCGCATCGAAGACTGGGATGGTGCGCGCGAGGCGTTCGCGCGCTGTGTCGCCATCGACGAGGATGATGGAGAGAGCTGGAACAATCTTGCGTCTGTGTACTTGCGCATGAAGGATCTGGTTGTAAAGAAGGGACCTTCGGCGACAGCGACAGTAGGTCTTCCTCCTGCAACTGCTGAGATACATCCCTTACGGATCGTCAGGATTCCGACGATGAAGCTTCGCAGCCGCCGGCAGAGGAGAAATCGAGCGCGATCCCCTTCGAGAACAAGATGCTCGCCTTCCGCGCGTTACAGCAAGGCCTGCGCTTTGCGTACGAGAACTGGCGCATGTGGATGAACTACATGATCGTCGCGATGGACGTAGGCGAGCTTGCTGAGGCAGCCCGTGCGTTGGGACGTATTGTCGAAGAGAGAGCGGCGAAGAATGGCGCAGACGCCGTGGATGTCGATGTTCTCGATCGGCTGGTGGACGCCGTGACACGAGCGCCCGCCGATGCAGATGAAGCCGTCGAGGGTGCTGGAACTGCGCGCGATGCAGTGTTCAACCCGAACGAAGGCCACGGCCTCTTGCGGCGCGTCACCGACCTCTTTGAGCGAGTCATCCTTCCACGCGTCTCCTCTCCGCGCATCTTTCGCGCCCGCGCGCGTCTGCTCATGTGGCAGGGAAAATGGGAGGAGGCGATTCAAGCTCACATGGATGCTTACCGCGCCGGCGTTGCCGGTCGCATGGAGAAGGGGGAAACGGATGTTGTGCGCTGGAGGGAGGGCGTTGAGGAGGTCGTGGAAGCCGTCGATGTGCTCCGCAACTTTGGACCTCGCGTAGAGGGCCTAAAGTGGAGGTTGCAGGCAAAGAGCATCCTCAGGACGTTCATGGGCCGTACTCGCGACTTCGAGGAAGAGCCGGAATGGAAGCAGTTGGAAGAGCTGCAGGAAGATTTGCGCAGTGAAGAGTAAGGAAGCTCAGACAGATACTTGTATCATCAGACCACTCTTGTAGCCCTTAGATCTCCCATCGTTTGAACTTTCATGTATCATATCATCTATCGCTGTCCGCCAACCCACAAGCTTACAGTCCCGCTTCATGACATGCCAAAGCCAAACCCAGGGGCTGCCCATCTGGAAGCTAATAGAGTTCCCATACTTTCGCCTGAATAGTAGACTATTAGCTCTGATATGACGTACAGGGAAAGTGTCGAGTGCTCACCAAAAACCCCGCCAAATATGCCACGTCTTTCCTCGAGTAACAGGAAGTACAGACATACGACGACGACATGATCAAGGTTCCTTGAGTCTTCTTGAACTATCAAAGCCGTTCTGTGACGTCTATGGGAAGACCGTAGGCTGACGGTGCGTTGCTTGACCCGCACTATTTCTTGTTGGCTTGCGTCACATAACTGCGCAAGTCAAAGTGAGTGCTGTTGAATAGGCATGAGCGCCAGCACCGGATTTCCTACCATGAATTCGTTCGCTTCGGGCTTCCATATAAACGCCTCCCCAGAAGGCATAGTGAAGGTCGACCTGATCGTGATTCATGCGTATGAGACAGAGATCCCAAGAGCTACAGTAGCCAGATTTCCCACTCACATGCTACCATCCTTCTGTATACAGCCCTCCGCGTTAATCATGTCCATCCCTTCGATCTCCAGCTCGTCGGAAGAGAATAGGTGGCTATGAAACCGGGCGAGAAATTGGCCCTGTGGTGCGCCGCTTTCATCCTCGACGCACTTATAGATTGCAGTCTTGATGTTGCCGGCAATGAACGTTCTGGAGGTATACAGTCGTTGTTCACCGCTCTCGTCCATGATGTCTGTCTCGCCAGCGCGTTTACTAGAAAAGTTGAGAGTGGGCATGGCGATGGCGGAAAGACCGTCAAGAGCCCGGTAGGCATCGCTTATATGACCTCAACACGGGGAAGGGCGTCAAAGTGGAGAATGCGTGGACGGAACGGGTATGGACACAAGCGGGCTGGGAAGCGCTCAAACCGTACTCGTGGTTCAGAACAGGCGCCTATCCCGGAGAGTCAGTTTGTCTGGTCTCAAACCGCGATACATCATGGTGCAGGTATCAAAACGCTGGAGAGACATCGAGATCGAGCGGCGGAGACATTTATCGTACATGTATTCTTTCGCGTAGGAAGGAGAGTACTGAATATGATGGTGGTCCGGGACGACCAGTGCGCGGCGCGGCTCCGTCACAGATGCACCCGACGCGGCCTTCGCAACGACCACCACCACGATGGTGCAGCCTGATGCATACGTCCCATCTATAAGTCGCCCAAATCAGAATCAATACGCTGCCTGATACTCGTGGTTGACCACTCGAATTGGAGAGCTGGGAGAGCTGACGCGGTCACATCGCGCGGGCGGTGCACATCGTGCTGTATGTCCGCCCGGGCGCAGCCTCAACCCCATCACGGCCATCATCGGAGTCTCCAACCTTGGCCTGGAGAGCGAAGGGATCGTTTTCCTTTGAAGAGCGGCCCTCAAAGCGGCCAGTCTGCTTTCTGCCTGAAGTACTCTTGCTGTTAGGACTCAGGTTACGGGACCAAGGAAGGCTCCTCGTTGTCTGACAGAACAGCCCTTTTTTGCTTCCCTGGATTGTGATGAGGGCTGCATATTATTTGAACTAGCATCGACGATGACCTTGATGGGACACCCTCGAGCATCATCTTGTCAGGTTCGGATTCCAGTGATGGTCGAGCGCGGATCAACAACCCACAGCCATATCACTACACCGCCTCGCACCTCGAGCTCGAGCTCCACGTCGGTTTCAGCGTATATAACGAGCCGGTGAAGTCGGGTCTCAGCATTATTCTCCTCTCATATTACTAGCTGCTGGCAGCTCACGACCTCATCACTCACGACCCTCACTCACGACCTTTTCCTTTCTTTATCATCGTCATGGAGCTCTACTCGTCCAACGCTGACCCGCGCAACACCGACCTCACCGACAACCGCGGCTTCCTCGTCTACCGCATCTCCACCAACAGCAGCTTCGCCTCCAGCGGCACCTCTACCATCTCCCGCTTCGTGCCGGGACAAGGCGGCCAGCCGCAGCCCGTCATCATCGCGCAGATCGAGTGGCACTCGTTCTCGCCTACCATCTTCCGCTTCCGCGGTACTGCTCTCAAAGAGAAGCAGTATATCCCTGGACATGGTTTCGTCACGCGCCAGCGCACATTTACCGCTGGAAGTGGGCGGTCGTACACCTGGTCCACGAACGTCGTATGTCAAGTTCAATCATTTCCTCGGGCGCTTTCTGACGTTCTCTATAGCTCAACGTGACCGGCGGTCACGAAGTCGCGCGCTGGCACAACAAGTCCGGCGGATTCTTCTCGGGCAGGTCGCATCCCGCGTATGTCCAAATCGCCGGCGACGCCATCCAAGACTGTACGTAGCTCATCTTCGAACTGCTCTTAACATATCTGACGGTCTGTATAGTGGACGAGGTCATTCAGACCTTGGTCTATGTCCAGGGCAAGGCGCGCGACGACAACGACGCCGGTACATACGGTGCCATTGGCGCTGCCGGTGGTGTGGCGGCAGTAGTGTCCTAGAGCGGGCGGCTACGAGCTCCCATGATCCGATCCCGGCATATCTTATCTTTCTGTTCAATCCATCGCATCTGTACCACCATAGTCAAGCCATCCATATGTTTTGTTGTGCCTCTACGTACGTCAAACCGCGCTTTATACGTGCAACTTCTCGCACGTCGAAGCTCGTCGAAGCACTCCAGTATGCCAGGAACTCCGAATGGTATAGTTGAGGTATATATGCAAATCGATGACAGAGTCCAGCGTCCGACGGTATGTATGCTTGCACATAGAGTCAAGTGTCCAAGTGCAGGGTAACGTATCCAAATAGTCCATAGCAAAACGAAAACAAGTGCAGTCGAGTCCAACACAGCTCATGCTCCCCGATCCCGCCTCTCCTTCTCCTTGATATACGCAAACGTAATGACCAGCTCGTCCAGATCATGAAACAGGTCGTCATAATCGTCAATCTCGATGTACGCCCCGTGCTTCTCCTTGCCGACGATACCGCGAGAGGCGTTGTGCGACCTTCCGATCTCCCAGCCGCCCTCGTTTCTCAGCTGTGCGCGAATGAACGTTTCGCTCGGTATGGACACGGCAGTAGAACTTACCACAAGAGAAGACACGCCTGCTGGTGCCCAGGAGTACGTGCGCCCCTGCGCGGTCGTAAATGTCCGTGTCCTACGAAAGCGCAATCAATAACCGCACAAACGCTCAGAAAGCGACACGCACGAAGAGAACGTCTTTTTCTGCAAATACTTGTTGATATCCAGCTCCTTCCCACGCAACCAAAACCTGTCCGCGCGCAACGTCCGAAAGTCGAACTTGGCGATGACCTCGTCCCCAGCCTGGCCGGTCTTCATGATCACGGACATGTTCTCCGCGTTCTTCACGGGCGTGATGGTGTAGCTCGCCGTGCGAAACTCGTCCGCTATGACGGTCGTGCTCTCGCGGGGTTGGGAGACTTCGAGACGCATGGGTGAAGCTAGTGGGGTGTGGAATTCATGATGAAGGTCATCGAGAGAGATGCTTTGGGTGTGTATGTCGACGAGCGGATGTCGGTCCGAAGGACGTCGCGCACACGTGAGTTCCTAACTTTCCAAGGAGCGTACCAGTTATCGAGCGTTCGTCAAGGGGAGCTGCGAATCCAGACGATATTGATGAAGCGTAGTGGCATTTGAGACTATGATAGCAACACCGATAGCAAACAAATAAGGAATGTGCGTGGCCAAAATGGTATGTGAGCTCTACAAGTACAGGTATGTATGTTGCAGTCCGTTCATCTGCTCCAGAAAAGTATAACATTACAAAGCAAGCAATCCCAGCAACAAACTCCGCCAACGTTTACAACGCCTCCCACTGCGCCGCGACCGGCCACCTCTCGCTCTGCCACCCTCGCAAGATCTCAGCGACTGCGTGGCCGTCACCGCGGATATCGTCGTTCATGCACGCGAAAGCGATGTCGCTGCTCGCGGGCAGCCGTTGTACGCCCTTCTTCGCGCTCCCCACTCCCTGCAAGAACACAAACTCCGACGGACTGTTGCCCAGCACGAAGCGGTACCGCGCCAGCAGCCGCAGCACGAAATCGCGCACGTTGATCGTGCTCGTAGTCGCGGAAGAAAGCACGTCCGTAAGCGCGAACTGGCCATCCTCCCACCGCTCCACCGTCGGCAGCGTCTTGGGCGTATATCCATGCGACGCCGGCGCGACTTCCCGCTCAGGCGGAGGCAGGAACTCCGAGAAGCCCGCGCGGCCGGAGCGCTGGACGAGTCGGTTGATGATGCAGTCGCCGCAGCCGGGCGCCATGAAGGCGAGGTGCGCGAAGGCGCCGCTGGCGCTGGTCAGGTCGGCGGGGAAGCATTCGGCGCGGTTGATTGTGCAGATATCGTCGGCTGAGAGGTTGGGGTAGCCTTTGCCGCCCTTGCGAAGGTGGTAGTATGGGTAGCCGTCGGCTGACGCTGAGAAGGGGTGTGATGAGCGGGTCATTCCTGAAGAAGCAGGAAGTCGACTTACTAAAGAGGTACTCCGTTGCACCAGGCCGCTCGTATCCCGCGCGCCTAAGCGATCGCGAAACGACCTTCTCGTCCAGCGCGCTCCTCTGTACTCGCCCAACGCGAACATCCTCGTCCCCCTTCCCTCCCAACGCGCTCCAGGCCTTATCGTTATCCCACCCATCATCGTCCCCGCCCAACCGTCCAACAGCCCACGACCACAGCAGCGCCTCCCGATGCCGCTCGACGGTAAAATGCGGCATAAGCCACGCAGTATGCAGATCGCCCGGATCGGTCTTATGGACGTCGCGCATGGGCCGGGCCGCCGTGCGCGTGAACGCCTCGGGGAACGTCGCGTATGCTTCTTGCAGGAGCGAGACGGACATCGCCTTGGCCATGTGCGCGGTGTAGGGGCGGTTGGACGCGCCGAAGCGGTTGGAGAGGAGGACGTTGGATTCGCGGAGGGGCTGCCATTCGCCGCGCGAGGGGCGCGTGTCGAGTTTGGGGGGCACGAGCAGGTTGAGGTCGAAGCGGAATACGAGGCCGTACGCTGCGCGCGGCGTCAGCATCGGTCAGAATGCGGAGGGTATGTATACGGGACGTGCCTGATGTGTAGAAGTCGGCCGGATGCAGATCTCGCAAGAAGTACATGTCGTCGTTCAGATATACAAACACGTCAGATACGCCGTGCAGATTGCGCAGTTGGCTCTCGATGCCGAAGCTGTTGAACGTGGTATCCTGGTACGGATCGAAGAAGCGGCCGTGGTGGTGCACAGAGAGCTTGACTACCCCGTCGTGCCAATCTGCGACGGCGAGCGAGCGGTCGAGCCATTGAGGTAGCTGCCCTAGTCGATGCTCTTCTGATAAGGCGGTTTCGGTGCGGAACTCGTCAGGAGCGGAGAAATCGCTGTTGAGGAGTTCGTCAGGACACAGATGCGTGTAAAATATACATGTCGGGGACTCACGAAGCAAGCAAGTTGAACTGCCGAACATACGGCTGAAAATGCTGCAACACGCTCCGCATAGAAAACCTCAGCTCGTCCAGATTTCTGGGGCACATCTCAGCTTCGATCCAAATTCTCCGCTAAAAGCCGCGAGGGCAGAATGGTAAAAATAAACACGTACTGCAGATGCTCTATCGGCGCGTTATAGTTCACGTCCGGTTTGCCCGGCTTCCCGCTGGCGCTGTGCGCTATGAGCGCATGCGCGTATCTCCACACGCGGTCGGTGCTGTTCACCCAGGACCAGACAACGTCCATCGTCTGGTCGGCTCTCCAGCCTTCGCAGTCGGCGCCGACGCTGAACATATTCTCCAGGCACTCTATTGGCGGCTCTTGGTATGCCAACGGCGAGCCGCGGTCCCGCCACGTCTCGGACAGCTTGAATGGGATATAGAAGTCGCCGCTCGAAGGCGACGAGACGAAGACGGCGCCTATCTCTCATCAGATCGTGTGAGCAGTTGCGAAGGGTAATATCGCCTACTTGTGTCATCACTTTCGGGTTCTGGGACTGGGCTGGAACTGGGGTCTTGGACGTCGACGTATGAGACGGCCGGCTCGACGTTCGTGACGGGGTCTTCGGCCCAGTAGTACGTTCCGAGGCTATATGTCGCGCCTACGAGGACGATAGCGAGCAACCAGCGATAGCGGGATGGGTGCGTGATGACGACTGAATGATTGTGCACCGGCAGCATCGCCCAGCTATTAGAGGAGAGGGGCGACAGGGGCTAGCACGCGATAGCACAGAGAGTTGATCGTGTGCGGGGGAAAGAAAGACATCAACGGACTGTGGTAGACCGATGTTATAAAGGGCCCCACAGAGCCCGACTGAGCGTCTGTGCGTCCGCAGCGCTGGTACTAAATTTGAACTGGACAATCAAACGAGCGAAGTACGCATGCGCAGTCGGTAGGACTACGCGCTGATTCCTACAGCTTATCACAGTCGTCCGAGAAAGTCCGTAGTCTTTCCTCAGCCTCTTTTGCGGGTGCACAGGAAGCACAGGCGGGAGATGCGAGAAGGTGTTATGGGAGTTGGAAAGAGGAAGATAGATGGCCGTTGTCTGGCATCGATGAGTGATCAACGAAGCGCCAGGGCAGGACAGATCCAGCGCTGCGGGTATTTTTGGCCCAGAGTCCGCGCGCTGGACGGCTTGCTTCCGTGCATTCATGACGGTACCGACATGAGAAAACCCTTCGCATACGGAGATAGGAATACGGCGTATATCTGGCCTTTCTGAGAACGTCCCTCGTCCGGTAGAGTCCGACGGAGTTCGGCTGCACGAACAATGCTCGCAACAGATGGCTGCGCAACTGTTGTGCTGGCCGAGGATGCCGAAAGACGACTTGGTGTTGGGATACGCAGAGCAGGGCTTCGTACCCTCGTTTGGCGAGAATCACCTTGGCGCTGAGTGGGTGCGAGCGTTTGTGAGATCAGGGTGCGGGCGAAGGCCGAGCGTCGTGTGCGGCACAGCTGGTCGTGTGCCCCGAAAACGTTGATCGAGGGCGCGGGGGAACAAGATGCTCGGAAGTCGGAAGTGACGTCGGCGCAGTGCCTGTTGACGGCGGTGGGGGCGTATGGGTCCAGTCGGTATTTTATCCGACGTGTACTCGCTCGCGCGTCTGTACTCCGACTTCGTAGGTGCCTACACTGTTTGCTCACGCATGGTCCCGGATAGGCATGTGGGCCATGCTTATTATGAGAAATATTGTATCTGGTACGTATCGTATCAGTACTCTACGTAGGCGCGTAACCCAGCAACCCGCCGCGAGGATACTTGCTTCATGTAAGCGGTACGAAGCTCAGATTAGGTATCAGTACGTGAGGCGACTCCATTCGCAAGCTATGATACATATTCCAAGCAAACTGGTGTTAAATATTCAGGGAACTTCTGTAGTTGTGATTTGGTCATGGTGGTCGAGAGCGAAGAGCCCGTGAGACGAAAATGCGGCAGCCTCGTCGGCGTGCCAGCTCGACGCGGTCACGACTTGCTCTGTCTTGGTCCACGACGAGCAGCATGCTTTCGGTGCTACGCCAGGCGTCCGTGCGCTCGCTCTCCGCCACACGCGCACTCTCCACCACACCATCCCGTCTAAATGAGGTAGCCAGCTACCCAGACCCGGGCCCTAACCCGCATGTGGTCGCACCCGCATTCCCGGCTCGCCCGACTGGCTTGACGCTCCCACCCGCGCCTGCTCCTGGCAGGCCACCAATCATGGATATCCCTCCGGCGGAGGACCCCTTATTGCATTTTATCTCGTCTATGCTCATGCGCGACGGCAAACGCCGCCAGTCCGACCGTCAAACGGCGAACATGCTCCTCCACGTGCACGCTCTCACTCGTCGCGAGCCTCTGGAGGTCGTCCGGGAAGCCGTACGCGCCGCCAGCCCCTTCGTGCGGACGCGTCAGGTCAAGACGGGCGCCAAGACGTTCTACATCCCCATGCCGCTCTCGGAGAAGCAGCGCACGCACTACGGCGTCAAGTGGATGCTCGAGGCGTGCAAGAACAGGCCGGATAGGACGGTCGAGGAGAGGCTGGCGAGGGAGATGATCTCCGTGTTGACGGCGAAGGACCCGAAGGAGAATAATGTGCTGAGGAAGAAGCAGCAGCAGCACGACTTCGTCATGCTCAACAGGTGCGTGCTGTCATTCATGTCCGAGGACATGCGCTCATATAATTGTGCAGAGGGTCGAAGGTTCCTCGCCGCAGGCGATAGTTGGAATCCATTGTGCTGTATCATATACTCTTCTAATTCATGGCAATGCTACCACATTGTGCTGCAACCTTAACTTTGTCGGCTCGCGGCTCACGTTTTCGTTCAAGATGCTGCGAAGCATGTTGCAAGATATCAGCTAGCAACGAGATTGCTCTTGAGTAGGCTGCGCGAGTACGAAGTGCAGAATGATAAATGCGGCTAACCAGTCGTGAAATGTCCATCGCCATCCAGATGTCGATCCCGCACGACTCCTGTAAGTACTGCATTACCCCGCTCCAAACGGAATCCGCGTTCTTCCTCTCATCCTCTCAAGGTGCTGTTCATCTTATTCTGACGTATTCAACCACGACTGATTCTCGAGCTCTGATAGATATTCCCGTTTCCCCGATCAATCTTCGACATCGTAGAAGCTCGATGTCTGCAGTGGCGACGTGACAGAACCTCGTGCGCCTCAAATAGACGAACCTCCCCGACATCCCCGCCTGACGTCTGCAAAGGTTCTCAACGAGGAGTGGCATGTCAGAATCAGACCAAGTCGATCACTCGCGCTTTGGGCTTCAGAGAACGTCGGGGTAGGAGACGGATGGAGATGAGCCCCTTCATTAGACGTGACGAAGTCGGGTTTGGCTGTTCGCCGAATACACGACTATGGGTGCGGCGAGGTCAGAACCTGGCAAGCAGACTGCTGTTCGCGCAGCACGTCATATAACCCGAAGCGCTTCTAGGAGGCTGTGTAGGTGTTATGCTTTCCATATCCTCAATCAAACCGCCGGCCCTTCCTGCAGATCTTGGTGCGGCATAAACCCGCTAAGCCCTTCCCTTTTCCGCCGCTTCCGACCTGCCGACCTC